AAAAAACAGAGGAGTTGCTGGTCAAAAGAACAGGGTTTAGCAATACCAATGCCCTGGAAGGAATTATTCTCTCCCTACTAATTCAAGAGTCTCTCTGTTACACCCTAAACCCACAGGCAAAACAGGCACCATGAAGATCCAGATTTTAAACCTGGTAATACTAGGAAGAGAAGGCAAGCATTTTTCCCTGATTTTATTTCAAACCATGTTTTATCTGCCCTCAAATTGTTTAGAGAGGTCATGAATCTGGAACTTAAAGAAGTATGGAGAATATATTAGTAACACTTGCATGTCATACAAGCTATGGATTTCCACACACATAGAATTAAAGATGAGCTTATGACCCTTTGTTTAAAAAATACTCTGGTCCTACAGAACTACAATCCCTCACTCTGACAGAGTTGAAAAAATATTTTTAGAATTAGGTGTTAGCACAATGAAGAAAAGTACAGATTTGAGTGCTGCTTTTGTAACTCCTGTGCTCGGCATTAAAAGCAGCATTTTCCCTTCTCCTGAGAACCTGGAAAAAATATTTTGGTTTTAGGGAGGAGAGGGACAGGGTAACCAGTACATAATTATTCTTGTTGATCAGGAATTCTTTTTGCCTGTGGAAAATGCTGACAATAAGTGTTACAGTATCAAAAGGGAACTCTGTTCCACAATAAACTTTTCAATATATTTTCAATTAGAGAAGGACTTCCTTATAAGAGCCATTGCAATGTTTCACAACAGATGGAGCATCTTCTTTGTCTAATTTCTGAGCTTGTCTAAAATATGGACTAACTTGCAACAAGAGAAAGCAAGGCATTTTCAGAATAAAGTAGTAACATTCATAAGACCACAGTATCTACCCATCCTACCAAGAGAAAATTTTGCTCCAAAAGAATACAGAAATTATAAAGCAAATGCCTTCATTCATCAGATCCACTAGAACTCCTGCGAAATCTAGAAGTGACTTGCATGTCTAGAAGTGACTTATATATCTATTTTGAAGCAGGAAATGATCAGTTAAATTTGGGAAAATCATAATCATGTTCATAATTACAATACTTTCTAAATTTCTAAGTTAATTTCCATATGAATATGAAAATGCATTTCCTTCTGTGGGGAGAAGGGGCAGTTAAAAAAATTTAAAAAAAAATTTAAATTGTTCTTCATGTCAACTAGGAAGTGGAAGTATAAAATCATAAAAATCTTTGACTAAAGGCTTTAAAAAAAACCACACCAACAAACCAAATCATCCACAAAACAAAAAAAAACCCACCAAACTGTAGGACACTCACAGGAAGTAAAAACGAAGCTCTTAAAATTTAGTGGGTTAAAGAAAAGGTATAAATACTTCAGAGGTATTTGAACATTACTAAGATTTCTAAGTACCTCACAAATTAAAAACAGATATTGCTGATATCTTGCTTTGACTAGATTATCTTGATAATGTATTTCAATAACAAGAACTAATTCTCTCATAATACTGGTCTAAAAATTTAGAATAACAAAAAAAGTCCTGCCCCAAACAAATGCAGAAAAAAAAATTTACCATGAATATCCATGTGTTTGAAAGTAATACAAAATTAACAAAGCTAGAAACAACTGTTTATGCAAATACACTACTCAATTAGCAATTGCAGTTTCATATATGCCCTGTTTTTAGTGTGCAAACAGCAGTCTAAACCAAGGTGTATTAAGAAGCCATCAATACACCATATGAACACTTAACAATTTTGATTCCATTTTTCATTCCCCTACTGAAACCTTCAATGCATGGGCCTACATAAATTCTTCCTTAGACTTCTGTTGAAAATAGACAAAAATAACAATAAAAAGGGGGCAATGTGTTACTTATATATATTTACATTTGAGTGAGAAGAGTAAGTGTTTAAAAATCCCAGTTAGCATATTTTAACTATTTTTCCTAAAGAATTTTCATGCCATTTGCTTTTCTTTTCCTATTGCCTAGCAAGATCATTTTATCAACAGACAAGGAAAAATGATGTGTCAGTATGCCAGTCTTAAATTCTTCCTATATACATGTTTCATTGAATGTCTGATGCAACAATAAAAATAATGTCTACTTAAATCTAATAGTCTACCAAGCTCCATTTTAAAATAATGTAGGGCTGGGTTTAGTTTAAACTAAGAAAATTCAGAACATTCAATTGCTTCAGATTTAAAACTTAAAATAGTCATGCCTAAGATATCAAACAATGGTTGATTTTACATGTATTGCAGTAACTAGGAATGGGTTGCATTTATAGCTACAGATCTCTTTCAGGAAAATTATTTCAGTTGCCTTTGCAAAGCAAGAGAAGTCCTCAAAGAAGTCATAAACGAATTGTAAAAGTAATCTGCAACAGTTCCTTTTGGATGAGCAACAAGCATGCATTGTCAGCTTTCAAATTATGATTTAGTTAACAAGACTTGTAGAGCCTCAAGTGTTCTACCTACAGTAGGAACAGCAGAAGTGGCCATGAAAAGTTCCACATCTGAAGCACTTCAGTAAAGAAGTCTGCACATTTTTATCTTTTCAACCTCATTACAATCAGATATTGCAAAACAGTTTACAAAGTCAAGCACACAGCTTGCAATAGCCACACCAGCAATTTTTAAGGGGCAAGCACTGCAGGCCCTTAATTCGGGCTGAACTTGCAACAAAATCAGTAGTTGTTTTGCTAAATAAGAACTACAATAGGAGAGGCTAAGAGTAGGAAAATAAAGCAAACACACCCCACCACCTTTCTTGCAAGTTTCATCTACTCTTCAGGTCAAGAAACATTCATGTTGACTACCGAGTACAAAGTTACTATAAAAAAAAAAATTAAAAATTAGTATGGGCCAAAATTCAGCACAAAAATATTCTAGAGCAAATCACACCTTAAGTGGACTCTAATCATAACTGAAAACTGCAGCACTCTTAAAAGATACTAGAGCTTGTAAATAGGACTCAATTACTACATTACTGCAAAACTCTTTGCACTTTCTAAAAAAACATTTAGACTTGTCTTAAAGTTTTAAATACTTCAATATATACTAAATTTGTAAAAGGAAAGAAAGTGTGCATCTAATGAGAATACCATTCTGCAAATCCTTATTCATGGTTGTGAGTCATTAGAACTACTTGTGTATATTAAAGTTTGTAGGATTAGGCCCTAAATGTAAAATCCCTTTGATTTACAGTTGTGAACCAGAAACAACCTTTTTTGCTGAATAAGAATCTATGAGAAATACTCTGAACCTGTGTCAGACCAAGGAACACTCCATCAAACTTTCACCTTTTAAATATCTCACAAGGGAGCCTTAGATACCTTTGCCTTGCAATATAATCCTGATTTTCATTAACAAGAATGTAACTGCTTTTGTACAGGAAAAAAAAATGAACAAACTCAAACCGTTCAGTGAAATCCTAAAATCCTTATTTTCCTAAGAAAGCTAGTAGAAAAAAAAGAAAAAAAAAAAAAGGGAAAAAAGAAAATAAGAAAGAAAAACCAGCAATGTAGTACCTCCAAAGCAGTTTCTGGACAGACCGAAATATTTATTTATTTGGGAGCATATTAGGCATGTTACCCAAACACAGTTACAGCATTAATAGAAGTACTTTCACTGTGTGTTTAATCACATAAAGAAAGGATTAAAACTGAAAGAATTACCTACTCACTAATCACAAACTTCAAAGCTTATATAAAGTTAAGGTTTACTTCCTATGTTTTCTGTATTCAAAATTTTCTTACTCAACTAAGAATTTTCTCTAGGAGGCCTTAACCACCCTAAAATCATATCAGGGACCCATCTGCCTCAAATACTTCTGTAACAGGAGGTGTATTGCTGGTAAATTCCAGTAATTCTTCAGTTCTACCAGCCATTACTTACAACAATGAGGAAATATGAAATTTACACCTCACTGTGTTTGCTTGGTAGAAATTAGGAGTTACTGGGATAAACTGAAATTTTGGGTTTTTGAAACTCCTCTGATTCTAAGGTACAATTACTTCCTACAAAGAAGAAGTGTTCTTGAAGACAGACAGATTTGATTAAGGATAAAAACTGAATTCCAGCTGAAAGTTGGAATTGCTAAAGTCACAACATGTTCATAAAATTTGTTGTACTGCAATATGTTCTGCCGAAGATAAAGTCTTGCAGATTTTACTATTCCATTTTGTATTTAAACAAATTTACTCAATCCAAGACCAGTCACTATTTTAATTTCAATTGTCTGTGTAAATGGTTAGTTAAGACTGTTCGTATATGAGTAGATAGGTTATGATTACTCTGAATGGATTTCTCAGTTTCAGCCAAATGAGCACTTTTAGTGCAAAGCAGGACTTGCAATATGAGTGTAGCACAGTCCATATTAATTCCTCTAAATTAGTTCAGTGTTTTGCTATATACTATCTGTTTGCCAACAAAAAAGATAAATAAAATTTCTGAATATTCTGGTACAGATGCAAGGCTCTGAAAACCTGTTCCTTTTTTTCTGTTTTCTGCTTCTTTGCTCGTCAGGTAGCTAGTTTATTACTGCCTTTAAAACCAAATTTTACACACTACATGGAAATACACCCAGCTAGCTCTCTGTTCTATTCTATTCTTAACACACCCTCCCAACAAAAAAAATAAAGTGATTGAAAAATAATTTTTTTATATCATCCATACTTTGTTTTTGGATTAGCAACATTTCAGTTGGAGTAATTCCCAAGACAGGAATATGAGAACAATACTATATAGAGAATTTATATAGCTCAAATGGATCAAGGCTGTTGCAAACTCAGCTTTTTATACATATTTTTGGCCACTTCATTTCCTTCTGAGCACAGCCTGTGTTAATACTTTTACTTAGTGTTTATAATTTTACAGGAGTGTAAAGAAGAATTATTTTAACAAATAATAAATTCTTGAACAATCCCATTAGAACCGGCCTATTTTGAATACTCTGAATAAGTTATCTTACTGTGCAAATTTTTTAAAATAAAGAACATATGTAATAAGAGAAATGTTAATATAATATATACCATGCTCATGCTCCATCAACCTTCCAGAGAGTTTTTCAATCACAGGAGTAAGTCATTCTCCAAAATCAGCTCTCTATTGAAAGGTCAAAACCTGCAATAAAAATGTCATGTATTATAACATATTTCCAACACCCACAGTTTCATGGTTGATCCCCAAACATAGATGTAGGTCATCAGCTTGACCCTCGCATTGTCTATGTTACAGGAAATCCTAATTTTAAAAATACTTTTTTTTTTAAACCAAACTGACTTGATTAGGAACACCTGTGATATGCCTCTTTATTATCAGAAGCCTCCTGAAACAAATCAGATTAGCATGTTTCTGCTTTCATTCTACCCACAGCATTTTAAGATGAAAGTAAGAGGAAGGAGGAAGAAAAAAAAAGAAGAAAAAAAAAAAGAAAAAAAAAGTAAAAAGAAAAAAAAGGGAAAAAAAAAGGAGTAAGGGGTGTTGCTCTCTCTTCCCACTCACTACCAATCCCTCTCTCCACCCTCAAACAAACAAACAAACAGGTAAGTTATTTTAGGGAGTAAAGTACTTAATGAATGTGTGATTACTGCTGTCATATTTCCTAAGATATGCTATTGACTGTTAAGTATTTAAATTCTAGTGTTTCACTTTAAGGAATTTTTTTTTTTTTTTGCTCTTCAAGGCAGTACCATTATTGCCTTTATTAAAATTTAGCCTACAAATATTAGCTACTTTAAAGCATATAATGGAAAAACTACAGTCATATAATACATTCTGAGAGAGGAAATAAAATTTTTAAGAGTTAAAAAAAAAGAAAAAAAATTAAAAAAAAAAATAAAAAACATAAAAGAAAAGCAGCAGTCCTGATCAGGTAAGAACAAAGTTTAACTTGACAGATGCAGCAAAAATAGCCAAATAGCTACTGGAGGAAATACTGCATTCACAGAGACAAAATCTTAAATCTGTTTTGACTTTATTTGAACTTTTCATTGTAGACGCCATAACAAGACACATCCTATGCCTAATAAATGAATAGCTGATGCGTAGATCAGGTCACCTGCTCATAAATACTTCCATAAATTTGTTCTTTATTCTTTGAGAGTATTCCAGAAAATGCTCCAAGCCCTCTCACAGCTATGGACTTATAATAATCACCCTGCTTTAACAAGAAAAAGGAGTTTGTATTTTCGTGTATTCCACACATCATGTATTTCACCTTTTAAAAAAAAGTTTTTGTTCTTTAAGCAAACACACCAAAGTTGTGGTCCCCCTCTGTGCTTATATTGAGATTTCACATACTTGAAGATTATATTGAAACTGGACTTACATAAAGCTATTTAAAATGAAAATACATGCCTAAGCCCTATCCGATGTGTAATTATCTTCTTCTCAGACCAAATCTTCAAGAAAATTTCAGTTCATGCTAAATAAAATAATTAGTTGTTACAAGATTCAATGCTGAAAAGTTTATTAATAATCTATTTACTGCAGATTCACTCACTACAGTGTCTGAAAACAAACTAAATAGTCACGGGGTGGGGGGGTCCTATTTCTAACAGTGGTTTCCTTTAGACATTAATAACGAGCACTGAAAGTCACTCCTATCTTTCAGTTTTAAGCAATATAACAATATTGCCTTCAGTTTTAGAAGGCATCTTGGGAAACCTTTAATAAAATAAAAGCTAAATGTACATAATTTACATTTGCTACTGTTGTGTGCATATGGTAATAAATGTGTGTGTGTAATGTCATCCTTACACACTACCAACTGTTTATTATCGAGCTCTGGAAAAGTGTTAGGAATTAGATAAACTTTAAAAATTTCATATTTTCTGTAAAAAGAACTTTTTTTTTTGTTTTTTTAATGGTACACTAAAAATATTATTACATGCAAATATTAGAATAAAAAATTGACCAACTTTAAGTGTTAGCTGGACTAGAGCTCAAGTTGTGCTCCCTCCTTTAACACTCATTCAAATATCCTAAAGTTCTCACAGAGCATTCAAAGCTAAGATCAGAACTATTCCTCAATTGTGGTAATGTCAACTGTATCCCAAAGTTCTGTTATTAGAATAAGTGCTTTTAAAACTTACAGGAAAGGGTTAAAATATAATCAGTATAGAAATTGCCTTACACCCTTATGAGCAGAAATTTTTATACCTAGCTTACTCTGAATATTTCTGAAATTGTCCAGTATCCACAATGAAGAAATTTTTCAAAAAAGAGATTCCTTTTGAAATCCAACTTATGTATTAATACACCAGTAACCTAAAAATTCGACATAACTCCTGCCAATAATGCACAAAAAACCCCTGCAAAGCAACATTTTCACTGACTAAAAGAGGTTACTGAAAATCTGTGGCTACACCTCTCTACTCTGCCTGATGTCCCCTTTCTATTTGAGCAGCATATCAACTTTATTTCCTATCTTTAAAATACATTACTTGTGCTATTAAAAAAATAGATGGCTGTGAGAAGAGTCACAGGGGACTAAGTTCAAAAACAATTTGGGCAGCCTGTTCAAACAAAATCTTTCAAGTATTACTGATAATAGAAAACACAATTTTTTGAGATCAGGTTCCAGTGCTAGATATTAAGTGTTTAGAACTTATAATAATATATAGGTGAAAAAAAAAAAACGTAGAGAACATATACTGGTGTACATGAAGGTATTTTTAGTTTTAAAAACTTTCTGACAAAAATATTTTTGTTTCTACACAAAAGCCTACAATTTCATTCTCTATTTCTTTCCCAGACAGTCAAAACTAGTCCAAGATGAGCTCTACCCTTGACAGTTTGTAATGAATGTGAATTACTTAAATAACTTGCAATGGGCCTTTGGGTGTGGGTGGATGACTGCATCTACAAAGCAGAATACCTGCAGCATATTTGTAGAACACAGTGATAAGCTTCTTGGTTCTCCCTTACATAGTCAGGAGTTAATTGCTCCCCAGAGCAAATAACAAAACTCAGTAAGGTCCTATAAAAGGACCACTAGCTAATCTGTGGCGACTTTTCCTGTAAAGAAAGCTCATCTGCTTCTACACGTGCAAAAGTGTATCAGAAAAGCAGTGATACACCTGTTAGGATGGCTTCTGACACTCAGGGTGGGCGAGATGTGCATCTTCACACAGTGTTTGCAGGCAGGGTATACAGAGCCAGGTAGTTTGTATGCAGTTCCACTTGTAATTCACTGAAGAATTTGACTTATTAGTCATAAAACTAATTAAGGAATTAAAGACTCAAATTTATTTTTCTTTCCATGACATTACATTTTTGATGGAATAGTAATAGGTTCAGAATTCCAGAAGCTGAGAATAAAAAAACCCCAGACAATGAACTGAACAGAAAAAGAACCCCACGATACCTTGGTATCGTATATGTAGTCTGCCTTTAAAATGTTACCTCATAGAAAGCTTATTGTAGTATTAGCATAACAGATTAAAAGGTCACACAGATACACAGTCATACTTGCAAATTACTGTTATTTCTGAAAATTAAAAATTCTCAAGAGCTACTTTCAGCATCAGTAGATTTGTATCTATAAACTGACAGGGTACCTCTTCGAAACTTTCAGTAAAACTTTAGAGGAGAAAAAGAAAAAAAAAAACACCAATCCCAAACCAAATGAAGCTTATTTGGATGTTTTTCCTAAGAATCAAGATAAGGGACTAAACTCAAAAGAAACAAAGGAAAAAAAAATTTAAAAAAACCCCCCACACTATGCTGCATGTTATACCTAAGCAAGGTTTAATTGAGCATAGAACTTTAGTTTTCACTTATTGATAAAATATAAATATATACATTTAGATATTCAAGTTCAATTGATATCTCCTCCAAATGCAACTTTTCCAGAGCCAAGTAATCCCTGTTAATGTTTGACATTTTAACTGAGGTAAAAAATGCAAGCAGCACTACAAGGGTCTATTTAAACTACGTGATTTTTCCCCCCTAAATATCTTAAAATAAGGAGTACATCAAATATAAGAAAGGAAAAGTTACTTAAAATATGCTATATATTCATATTAGATTGCTTACTGCTTTCATTTTAGCCACACCCACCTTTATGTAATTGTAAAATATGAGAACAGTGCAGCTGAGAAATAAGAAAGCTTAAAAGAACAGTTGTTTCATGTAGTCAAATATGCGCTAAGCACAGATTTTAATTAAAATGAAAAACAAGTATAAATTGCATGCTATTGAACATGACTAGTGGGGAAAAATGCACACGCACCTGTACAATACTGATTTATAGGGGTTTTTTTGTAAATTAGCCATGAGTCAGGACAGTTATTTCATTGAAAGTGAAAGTCAGTATTTGTTAGTGCACTTCCACAGCGGAGTGTGTAAATCTCTTCAAATTCTGATATTTCAAAGTATACACAGCTACAGTGAAACAGCTTTGTGCACATTCCCATACTGACTGTCAAAAACATTTCTGAAAACACTCTCAAAGTAATGATGCAGAGCTAAAGAAATGAGTGCTAAACCTCAACAGGATCTTACTAGTGTCTCAATTTCAAGGATTAAGTGGAATTTTCTGTCAGGGCACAAAGGTATGAATTGCGGAGACAAACTAAGCAGCTATTCCCAGGAAAAAAATAACTGAAAAAGTGTAATTTATGTACTGGATTAAAAGAATCCAGGGAAACTAGGGATTTGAGACAGAAAAATCTCCTTGAACTGTTGGATTTCTGCATTACACAGAAAATACCTTGAATCACAATCCAGTTGCCATGCTGGAAACGCTAAGTTTTGCATTTCACTTTAAGACTACAAGCTCTCAGCCATGTACACAGAAATCTTTTGTACAGCAGTTCTGCACCCCAACTCTTCTCTACGTCCCTCCTACGTCCCTCGGTTAACTCGTTATTTTCGGTGCCCGGGGTGCTTCAGCGCAAGGCGGCCGCTTCTGGCTTTGAACGCGGCGGAGGGATGCGCGGGGGGGCGGCGGGGGACGGGGGGGCAGCGTGGGGGGAGGAAGAGGAGCGGGGAAAGGCTGTGACCCGGTCCAACCTCCCAGCCCCGCGTCCCTGCGGGCAACCGGGGGGGGCGGCAGCCGCTCCAGCCTCCGCTGAGCGGGCGCCTTAACGGGGGGCCCGATGCTGCATTCGCTGCGCATCCTGCGCGCCCGCCAGCTCGACGGCAGCCCCGGGCGCCCGCCGCTCACACGGCATTGGGGAAAATATCCATATGCCTTCCTGCCTCCAGAAGAAAATATTAAAATAATAACGATAAAAAAAAAACCAAAACCGTCGGGCGGCCGAAAGTGAAGAGGGAAGTAGGAAGAAGAATAAAAAGTAAGGCTTAGAAATTGTGGTTGGGAAGGAGCCCGCTGGCCTGGCAGCGCCCGAGCTCCCTCCCGGCCTCGCCGCACGGTGCTGTCCCCGCCGGCGCTCCCGCCACAAAAAGATGCCTTGTGAGCCTGTGTGCGCCACTCCGAAACGCGAGCGCCCACGCCAGAGTCGGCCCCGAGGGGGTTAAACGGCGTCGTGGAGAAAATGCACCGTGTCACATATTGTGTGTGTGTGTGTATGTGTGTGTGTGTGTGTGTGTGCGGAGGGGGAATCGCCCAGCGCACAGGCTGCGAGAGATCTCGGCGCCTATCACAATAAGCACGATCGCGTTCATACAGCTGCGAGAGAGCGAGAGCTGCTGGCCACCGAGAAATGACATAGAAACAACCACCAAAAAATAGCTAAGCCAATGACAAATAGCGACCCGGGTGACAGAGACAGAGAATTTTGTAGGCGGAGAAGAGGAGGTGAATGGCCAGCTCTGATCACAGTATTAGGCTGGGCTATCTATGGGGAGGGTATTTACTCGGTTTTTGGGGTGTGTGGGAGGAGAGGAAAAACACCTACAAATAGCTGGCACGATTCAAATGGTCTCGGATTATGTTTCCCCCCCTCCAGTCCAGGAAGGAAACTCGCGTTATAACGCTACGAGGGGAAAAAATAGCTCTGTGCAATAGGGGATGAAGAGCACTTTGGTCATTCGTTAATACCCAAAGGGGCAGAGATGATAAATGTGACAGCATGTGGCAGCACGACCGTCACCCGGGCTCCTGCAAAAGGCGGCTCCGTATCGCGACACGGGAAATTAAGCGATTGAGTGGGAGGTGGAGAAAGCGCTTAAACGGAGAAGTTAATCTGCTAACATGGAGAGGAAACAAACGGAGAAAAAAAACCCGAAGGTTGTCCTCTATATATTTTTTTGGGTGGGGGGGGGTGCGAGGGGAGAAGGGAAAGGGAACAGAAAGAGCGAAGGGGCATTAATCCAGCTTACGAAAACATGGGGAGAGAGGAAGGAGGAGGCGGGGGGGGGGGGGGGTTGGGGGCGGCGGGCGAGAAAGGGAGATGTGCATGTAAGTGTGGAAGTCATCCTGGCGGCTGCTGCTGCAGAGCCGGGAAGCAGGAGCCTCCGTGTCCCGGGCGCTGCCCCGAAATTTCCACGGCGGAGAGCGGGGAGAACGCGGGAGGGAGGGATCCGCTGGCGGGTGGGTGGTAGGGACCGGAGGGGAGATGAGGGGAAGCCTGTCCTATCATGTCCCGGGAGCGCGGGGCACCGGGACCCTCTGGAACTCCGTCTGTCCCGCGGCTCCCGCCCGCCCCCCCGCGCCGCTCTCCTGGGCCGGGTGTGAGCGGCGCTCCCGGGATCCCCGCCCGGGCGCGGTGCCGCCCCGGGGAGCAAGCGGGGTTACCTGCCGGAGGAGACGGCCGCTCCCGACCGCTGAGGCTGAGGGAAGCGAGTGACAGATCCGCCCAGGACCTGCCGCCGCCTCCCGGAGCCTCCCGGCCCGCTGCCCGCCGGGCTCCCGGGGTGACTTTTCCCGGCGGCGGGGTGCAGGTCGCCCCCGTTTTCCAAAGACGCTCTTCCCCCGCCCGCCCAGCTCCCTCTGCCCCAGCCGCGCCCGGTCCCTCCGGCTCTTACCGCCTGTGCCGGCGGCGGCAGCGGCGGCACCCACTCCGAAGCGCGACGGCGAGGGTGGCAGCGGGGTAGCGGAGGGGAAGGGAAGTGAGTTTCGCGGGGCGGGAGGGCGGGCGGCCCCCGCGCCTCCCCCGCGGCGGCGGTAGCAGCGATGCGATCGGGCATCACTCGAAAATGGCGCCGAAAGAGCGGAGGGCTCTTCATTCAAATTCGTTAGCGCCAGCCCCGCCGCCCCGGGGCATGCCGGGAACGGGGGGGGGCGCGCGGGGGCTGAGGCGGCAGCGCCGCACGGACACGGCGCTCGCTGTCAATGCCGCCCCTCCCCCCCCCCCCCGCTCCCGCCGCCCGCGCGCGCGCGCTCCACGCCCTCCCCGCTCACCGCGCGCGCTCCCGACCCAACCGCCGCTAATGGGGAAAGGGGGGGTGGGGGGGGAAGAGAGGCAAGGAGGGAGGGAGAGGGAGAGAGAGAGGGAGGGAGGGAGGGAGAGAGAGAGAGAGAGAGAGAGAGAGAGGGAGGGAGGGAGGGAGGGGGAAATGGGAAATGTCACCCGGAGCCCGGGCCCGCGGGGGAGAGGTGGCGCGTTAGAGATGTGTGTGGGAGAAAGGGAGCGAGAGAGACAGAGAGAGAGAGAGAGAGAGAGAGAGGGGGAGCGAGACCTCCGCTGGCCCCGCGAACTTGTCAAGGTAAAGGCGCCGGTGGCAGGGAGGGGGGTGGATAGGGGGGCACGACAGCGGATTTTGGGAAGGTAGGGAAAGGAAGCCCGGCTGGGGGAGGGGGATGTGCGCCAAGAGGACCTGAGGAAAATATGAACAGCGCCTCCCCCCCGCGCCCCCCCGCGCCTCCAAGGACCCCCGCGGCTCCCGCTGCGCTCAGGTTGCAACCTGACCCCCCTTGTCCCCCCCCATGGCCGCGCACCCCGCCGCAGCTAGAGGAGCGTTCGGAGCGCTCGGCGCTTGCCCGCAGCGCCCGGGCCCGATCCCGATCCCGACTGGCAGCCGCCGCTCCCCATCCCCCTCCTGCCGCCGCACCGGCTCCGGGCGGCAGCGCCCCGGGGCGCCCCCCGGCCGGGCGTGCGAGCAGCCCCTGAGCGGCGGAGCGGGGCTGTGTGGGCTCATCCCGGGGCAGAGCGGGCCCGGATCGGACTACACTGGTCATTGCAAAAAAAAAACAAAACAAAAAAAAAGCCCAAAAAGAAAACCAAACCAAAACAAACCCCAAACCAACTAAAACACCCCACACAAAATAAGGGGGAAAAAAAAAAAGAAAAAAAAGGCAAAAAGCCCTCTCGGAGGAACTTCACTGAGCGAGGTTCAACTCGGGCAGCGCTCCCGCCTCGGCTGCGCGCGGAGCGCTCGGAGAGAAGGCGAACTTTCATTTTCACGCCGCATCCTCCCCTCCGCCCCAAGCTGTGACTGATCGTAACATACCTGATGGTCGGCTTAGTGCTCCCACCCGCGTTTCAGGGATGGGGAAGCCGAGATGGAGCTTAGCGAGCTGCCGAAAGCCGCGGGGGGAAGGCAGGCTACAGTGCCGCCCGAGCCGCTCGCTCCCTGCACTTGACTTGTGCCTCATGAAGGGTCCTTCCCTGGGAGCTCCGCGGACCCTGCCTCGGCTGGGAGACCCAGCGCATCCCTGCCAGCCGCTCCTCGAGCTTTCTGCCTTCAGGGTTTCGGGGTTTTTTTACTAATCTGATGCACTTTTTAGAAAGGGAAAGGAAAGCAGGGGCCTCAGATCTGCAAACTGTTGTACTCACGACTTAGGGGAAGATTTTTCAAAAGTACATAATGGGAGTCTGGGAGCTCTGTTCCCACTGCCTTTCAAAATCTTCCCTTCACGTCTGTGAGCAAGTCCTCTTGAACTCGGTTGGACTGCTGGCAGACGAGCGCTAGCAGGCTCAGGGCCTAATGCTTTTCATGATTCTACTGCTCCCTGCTAGAGCTGCACTGACAAAATATAAGCAGAACAAATTTTGAAGGGGAGAGGTAATTTCTCTTTTTTTTTTTTTTTTTTTTTTTTTTTTTTTTTTTTTAGCCACTGCTACAGTGCAAAACACCAAGCTTTTGGCCTCAAAAAGCCTAGGCCATCATGGCTACGAAAACTACTGCTGCTCAGAGACCATGTAATTCTGGAGCTCCTTAAGGAAAAAATAGTGCGATGCAACATGTAAGTAATCACATAGCAAATATTATGCATTTATATTATTATATTTTCCTCTGAATTGAAGTTTGGTGCTGCTAAAGAAACTGATTCCTAATTTTTTAAAACCAAGTTCTCAATGAAAATGAGCCAGATGACAAAACTTCAGATCGTAAAGCCATTCTATTAAGAAGGAGGAAATATAAATTATTTGTAGTATCTTTACTTTTTTGCTCTTTTATTAAAATTACTCTGAGCAAAATTTTTGAAAACTATGCCTTTTAACTTAAAAAAATGATAGTACATATTTTCTAATTTTTTTTCCTGAAGGTTATGTGCCTGTAAAAAGAAAACTTTGCAGTAGAAGTAGCAGTGAAAAGAGTAAAGAAAAATATAAAATTATGATGCTGCTGATACCACTTCTCTGTACTTATATTTTGTATAGTTTTGCCCTAAAATAATTCTAGTTATTATTTTCCACCCATTTTTCCAACCCTAATATAAAAATAAGATGTAGAAAATAGTATATCAATATTCTGTGATACAGTGTTTCTGTGATACAGGGTATTTTTTATTATGAACAGGGCACTACTTTCAGATATCATTCCTAAGATTTCATTAAGATTTTTAATGAAAGTGAAATTTTTACATCCCTTAATATCTAGTACTTGCTCTCAGGTTCCATTCTTAATGCACATAGGCCCTGCTCTGCACAGACTGAAATGCATATTATTATGTGTAAGCACACTGATAAGTTCTCTTTATTATTATGCTCTTGTGTTTCGGACTTACAAAGCTAATAGTGACATTACACAATCATTATTCTCAGAATTACTTAAGACTGCATAAAGCTTAAACCCAATGTGATAGTCTTAGTTTACACCTTCTATCCATATGTCTTAAATAATGCACAATTACAATAATTTGTGGATCAGAATGGGTAAATATTTAACTGAGAATATTTAGAGGAATAATAGAACAATTTAGAAAAGCAATTTCTGTAGTGTAAAAATCCATGTGAGAGGAGGTGGCTATTGCATTCTTTAGCTGTAGCATCTGAGAGAGGATCATCAGTGTGTTTCATCAGTGACTAGCCAAGCCAAAAAGTCACAGCAGGAACACAGCTGAGGACAGAAGGAAAAGAAAGGGATTTTGAGCCTCACCAAAAATAATATAAATCTTTTAGATCAAATTTCCATCCCAAACAAATTGGGATTGGACTCATCAGAGTGGTGGATGTCTTATCTGCTGGGGAAGCAGATATAGAAACTGCAGATAAGCTGCAGTTTCTATAATCAACTCCTTTCTTCATGCAGTTCTCATTCTGAACACTTCCTCATAGTACCTGTCCTGCATTACAGGTCCTTCTCCTCAGAGAGTGCCATGAAATTGTCAGAGAATCTCCTCATACAGTAAGAAGTGACATGACCAGCATTTGTCATATTGTCTGCTCTTTTGTTGCCAAGGGAAGGAGCATGTGCAATTGAATGTTTTCAGTTTATTGTATCTGCCTTTTCTTCCATACACATTATGTCTTTATGTTAGTGAGGTAAGGCTGAAGTAATATGTTTTGTTCTTCAAGCAAGGTGCAGTTAGATTTCTGATGGCCCTTAGTTCTTGGGCAGTTTCATTCATTAGACTGAAAGTTCTGTCTGTAGAACTTTCAGCATTTTTTCCCACTTCTTGCCTAGGTGCTCTTATGTCAGGAGTGGGAAGCTGTTGCTGACTGGATCCAGTCTAGAGACTTGGAAAGCACTTCTTGAGGAATCCTGGTTTTATGCCCTGGAGAATCCTGACCCCCCAGATTTGTAAATTAAAAGTCTAGAGAAAATCAGTGTAAATAAGGACTTATAATAACCTACATTGCTAAGATGACATCCCCCCCAGCTTCCTGTACTTGGAGTTTCCTATATGCAGCAGGCTTTGTGCTTGGATGTACTGGATTGCTTAGATCCAGTTGAGAGGTGGCAAAACCAAAGCAAGGCACATGTCTGCTGAAATGACACAGAAACTCATAGCTAGGGATGGTTAGAAAGCTGGAGGCTGTCTTCTGGCTCAGGCATGCATTACTTTACAAATTACCTTGCTATGTGTTTTTAAGATTTATTTTACAACTGTGAGGATTAGAGGAATTTGTTGTAATGAAAACTGGCGTTGTGTCATTACTCTGTAACTTTTTAGTTAGATCATTTGGCTTGCCTGGGCTCTTGCATGTTTTTCTATTTCATCTGGAAAGTTCCTAGGTAAGTTAGACCAATTGGGGGGTACTAAGGTACACCCACATGATTATAATAATTGCACACCTACATATTGTTTTGGTATTCAGTGTTTGTACTGTATCTGGACATATAGCCAGTGGAAATTTGAATTTTTTTCCTACTTATTTTTCTAATTTGAGCCCTGCCTTGCCCCTGATGCTCATCCGGCCTTCTAGATCCCTGTTATAGGTTCATCTAAGCCTCCCTTCAGGCCTCCCCTGTATGTTTCTTATCACTTGAAGTTTAAAGTTTCAGTTTAATAACCTAGTAATTGTAGTTGGGCATCCTCCTTCACGTGTATTTTGCTTTCTGCTGTAGCCAGTCAGTCTCTATTTTACCCTGACAAATACAGGATTTGGAATTCATTGCTTTGCAATTTTAGTCTGCCTGCAATGATAGCAGTTATAATCTTGAAAGGACTGAAGTGGACAGCATTTACTGTTGTACAATGAAAAGAGAGTTTTGAATTTGCCAGAATAAATCTGGTCTAAGGATACTTCTATAGACTGTAAGGACTGCAAGAAGTATGTGCTGGCTTAGGACATGCACATGCTTTATTAGATTTCCTATATACTTCCACGTGAAAAATAAAACTAGCTTTTTTTCTTTTACCTCCTGATTTTTCAAGAGCAAACCTTCAATTTATATTTTTTTAAACCACTAAAATACTCAATATGGCAAAAAGACTAGTGGTGTAGTCATCAAAAAGTTGAATTTCTATGTTTTGTTAGCATCTTATAGTATTGACTCTTACATATCTATAGGCCTGACTCATAATAGCCTATCCCTGAGGATTTAATAAGGAGTTGGTATTCAGCTTAGGTTCTGTGGTAAAGTTTAGCTTAAATGGTCCAACTGTAACTTCTAAACATTTTAATATTTTTGTGGATTTAATGGTTATGAAAAGTTCTGTCTTGGTATTGTGAAAACTGAAGCCCACTCTTTTATTTATGGATTAATTACAGCAGAACAGTGGCCAAGTTATCTTCTCCACAGCAGCCATGAACTTCAATCTTGAACTGAAGAATACTCATCAAATGGTGAGAAAAGAGCATGGTTGTCATGGCTTTTACGTTAGGGATGCTCTATTTTTTCCTGTTTAGCACTGATTCTTTTATTTAATAGGTATTGAAGTTAGTTTTTGTGGGATAATTTCTGGGACCATAGCATAATTTTTCCTCCACACCCCATATTTCAGCTGTTAATTTTTCAAGCTTTGCTTTATTCCTTGCTGTCCTTAACTTCAAAAGTAATTGTTAGTGATACACTGAATTCATTAGTTAATTTCTTTATCACTTTCTTTAGCCTTAGTCCTGTGCCTAACTCTGTTCAAATGAATACTTTTATCGATAGCACTACTTAGAAGAGTAAAGTTCAGGATATATGAAGCTGTTTGAAAGACTGAAGTTTAAATTTTACAGATGTGAATGCCTGCAATTAAATGGAATGCTGCTGAAATGACTGCAGGAGTGGGGGATCTGAAAGTGCTTATAGCTAGTATTAGTTTGTTTGCTCTTTTGCATACAATTTGTTTCTTTTAAGACTGAAAGATGCAAGATGTTAATTTGCTTCTCTATTTTCCCAGTTTCTGAGAAGTTTTGAACTCTGAACTTCACAACATTTATAAAATTTTAATAGTGTTCATAATTCTGGGAAGAACAAAACATCATTTTGTTTAGCCATTTTGTGAAAAGGTGACTGAATATAGAGGAACTCTTTCTCTTTTTCCTTAATCAGGTCTTTAATCCTAGTCATAAGAATCACTTGGTAATGATATTTATATGTATGGGTTTATTAAGCATAGATCTTAAAATGAGGAGTTTCCTTTCTTTTAGAGATATCAATAAAGGATGGTAGCAGGGGCTTGCTTGTGTAAGAATATAGTTCTTAACTGTTGTTGTTGTTGACTTCCTGATAATTTAGGTAGGTGACAGTTTAAAATAATGGTGCACAGAATGATCCATAGCTCAGGAGATGGATCACAGTGACCAGAAGTTCAAAGAATGCTGAGAGATGCCCCAGACATTTTTGGTATCTCAACAAATCAATTTTTGTTTTCCTTTAGTAACTGTGTTGTAGAGTAAGGAGTAAAAGGGACAGAACCCTATGAGTGGCTTATGATTTCCACAGTTTATCCTCTTGGAATATGGAATATTTACCCTGTCTCAACTGTTTACCAAACTGAGTTTGGAAGCACAAATGTGTTTAAATAGCCAAGAGAGATGCTGAGCCCTTTTTGCCAACATCTGAGCTACACCCTGTGTTAAGAATTACTTTAGTACTGTTATCAACCACTAAACTTGCTTGACCTCTGCCAAAGTTCCTTACCATTTCATGTTTTAAAAACAAGGTTTAATACTTAAACCAGAAAGAAGCAGCAGTTTTCAGGCACAGTGCATTGAGATGTAACCCAGAGGTCATTTATTTTTAATACAGATTCAACAATCGGTTTCTTTGTTCCTTCTCAGCCATTTTTTCTTTAGTTTTTTTTTAGAGAGCTGATTCTTGAATTAATTTTGAGCATTTAACTATCTGCATTCTCTTCATCAGTTAATCTTGCACTTAAGTAAAAATACTTGCATGAGTGTGGGAGAGAAGAGTCTGACCCACATTAGTCCCTTGCATCTTGTATTGACTTTGCCTATCTGGTAACCAATGGGCTGCATCCCGACCAGCACCAAAGTGTGAGTCTGTTTATAGGGTAAGGAGCTCAGGCTCAGTGTTGGATGTGTTTTTGGTACTACAGACCTAGTGAAAAATAACAATAGGATGTAAATTGATTTCCAGATTTAAGCCCTTCTTTAGTTGCTTACTTGAGCAGAGTTTAGTAACTCCAAATGCTTATAGTTAAATGGTTTTAAGGTTTTCGTGAGGCATTTTTTGAATTGATGTAATTCTTTCACTTTGACAGAAGAAGAGGTAGGCCAATGTCAAACTGTTTTGAAAGGCTTGTTTTCATTGCGCTGCTTAGAATGTAACTTTGTTTCTTTTGTTCCATCCCCATTTGGCTGAATCACTTTCACTTCCCTGAATCTTCTAATACCTGTTGCGTCCTGCTAACCTTTCCTCTAATGTTCAGTTTTCTATTAACTTTCCCACAATGATTATTCTTTGTCTCTCTCGTCTTTTTTTTTACTGGAGTTTTAGAGAAGTCATTATACATCTTCAATTTCTTTCCTTCCTTCATCCTGGAATCCAGTAACGTATAAACCCCTCTGATTTCAAGTTTGCCTTTTCAGTGAGAAATACGCAAGTTAAAAATGTAGAGCTGTATCAATAGAAAAGGTAAACAGAGAATTGTGGATGCCATTTCTAGAAAAGGAACTGGGTTTTGCATATTATTAAAAACTATTCCCTAATTTTGAGTACCAGCATCCAGGCAGTAAGATCAGGATTTTAAGGTGATGCTTTAAAAATCACTATGCTTATAAATAAAATAAAAAAAAACTAAAAAACCAAAAAACAACCAACTTAACAAAAAAAAAAAAACAAAACAAACACAAAAGTACAATTATACTGAATAGACTGATTAGATTTGATGTGGCTGTTTTATTGAGCTGTCTATCGTTGAACTTTTTTTAAGCCTAAGGAAAGACAGTATGGAGTTGGAAGAGAAGCATGGATCTCCATGAAGGGCAGTCAGTTATAGTCATGGTAAGTTAAAAAAAATACTGTATTTCTGTGAAATTATCACCTTTATGAAGCAACCTGTATTCAGGGCCCTGTTCGCATTGCAAAATGAATCCAGTTTTATTGAAAGTCTCTACATTCATTTATGCTATCACTGTGTAACAATTGTGTTTTGTTGTATCTGACTTTGTGGTGTAACTCCTGAATGAAAACAGTAAGTGACATAAAAATCATCATTATCACAGTGATTATGCTACAGCATTTTCATGCCTAGGTTCTGAGCAAAACAAGTTATATTATAGGGTTGTGTTATCTCCTAATAACTTTCAAATCCACTGCTTAATTTCAGCTGCATTTGATATAGAGGTAGAGGTCACAAAGTCAAGTTTCTGCAATTTGAATGAAATTTAGCAGCTGTGAGTAGAGAAGGGACTCAAATTAGTGCCCCTGGGGTAGAAAAAGCTGCAGCATGGACTCAGAAATTTTCTGTTCTCTTCAACCTGTTGCCTTGCAGGTCAGCATGCTTGGTTGGTCTGCCACTCGACACGTGTAGCTCAGAGCTGGCCACAATGTGAGCTGCTTCCTGTTCTCCTAAACATCAGAAGCTGAAATTTAGAGAAATCTGTTTAGAAGAGACTGAGAAAACAGCCAGGCTAGCTCAGTACAAGTGTGTTGGTGGCACCTGTAAGCATGCAGGTAGGTAACTACACTTCATTATTTCTGCTAGTCATGAAAAAGCCTTGGTTTTGCCAGGGCCTTCTAGTCTTCCAAAACACTTGTGAATCATTCCATGATATGATGTTTTCTATACCTGGATTAGAAAAATGTTTTTCTTGTCCATGTCAGAGAAGGGAACTGTTGAGACAGCTTCAGTATTTAATTTCTTTGGCTGTTTGTATGTTAGCTCTGAGCTATTTCTTAGGCTGTCAAAATTGTAAAACTGTGTTTTCAGCTCTCTCCAGAAACTGACTGTAATTTAGACTGCAGCTATGTGTCCCTGACCCATCTGACAACCTACTCTTTTGGAACAGTGCAGAAAATATTCATTGTATTCCAATATACTTCATTTGTGAAGAAAGATGTGGAGCTAGATACAGGGAGAGAAAACGGTATTAGGATCAGGCTTCATCAAATTACCACACTGCATTGCAACTTGAGAAATGCAAAATCACAGCTGTGTGATTTTATCACCAAAATCATTCTGAAAGGTCTTGTCTGCCCATTCATCTGAGTCAGTGAGAAATGGGCAGATTACAATTGCCAGAGGTGCCGGGTCACTCACTGTACAGGCTTAGGTAGGCACACTAACTTGGCATATGTCTGATATTTTAAAATTTTCTGTGTTATGTTAGACAGGGGTCAAGATACAACACTCTTTAAACAAAATTTAGTGCTGTAGCATATTTAAAAGAGGTTGAATTTCTCAGAATAACAAGCCTAAGAGTCATGCATATGAAATGTAAAATTTGAAAGAAGTAACACGAGAGGAAACACTTCCAGTTCAGTATCATAAGGTAACTGTCTTCAAATGTCAAATTTTGTTTGCCCAGTTGAAAACCATCAACCTCGCAACAAGGAACAAAAGCTTGTGGTACTCTGTTCCATTTTCTGCTAATTTTCATGGGTTTTTTTCACAATATCAAAGCCAAGAAGAGAACAATTAGTCATTACAAAAAAACCCCTTGAACAAACTGCATGCAATTTTATGAAACTTTTGGGTTGTCAGATTCTCAAATCCTTTCATTTGGTCCCAACTTTTTGTTTATTTGTTTTTAAGTATTGTTGTTTCTTCTGCAGAGCTATCTGTATTAAAGGAATGAAGAAATGTTTTTTTTGCATGTTTCTAGGATCTGTTTGTTCTTAAAACCTTTATCATCAGTAGTCTTGCCTAGTATCACCAGTTAAATATTACTTAATGTTACCTATGGCTATCTGACATTTAAATGGTTATAACATATAAGCATATTGTAATTTATAACATTTTCCTTTTAAAGATCAACCTAGATGTGTTTTTTAATAAGAAGAGTAAGGTCAAATAATGGATGTTACGTTTTGTGTGAACAGCAAAGTGGTGATGTGTTGTTTAACTATGTTGTGTGCTTCCTGTGTTTTAAATGGTGTTCACAAAGTCCTTAAACTCAATGAAGTTTTTCATAAGGATTTTTTTGTTTTAAAAAGATACCACTTTTTGGTCTAAAAATTACTAATTCTAAACTGCTTTTCATTATGTATTTTTGAAGACTTCAGTCCTGGATACTACTGTATGTGGTCAGATACTTTCACAGTCATGAAGACCTCAATAAATTCACAGACCTATGCTGCATCCCTAAAATGGATGTTGTGGGACAGACTTTAAGAAGGTTGAAGCACTAAAAAGTGACTTGCACAACACACCAAGGAAACTAGCATAAATAATCTTTAGAAAGTGATAATTAAAAAATTCTTTTTCAATTAATATCAGTAAAAGCTTCCATAATGTGCTGTCACTACATGTAAAATTCATAAGCAATTTTAAGCCAACATTCTTTAAAGAAGGAGCTAAAATTCCTATTAAAAATTTGCAACTTAAAGATGTATGGAACTCCTTTATTATGTGCTAAGTGCTGTAATAAAACAGGCTATCAGTAGGTTTTGCTGCATGTTACTAATTTTATTTTTTTTTAATCTTGGTATTTTTGCAGGTGTGTGGAAGAACAGGTCCTGTTCTCGCTGTTGTTACTCCCACATAGGCAGACTCTGTAATTGATTATGTGTGGGTAGGGCCCTATTGAAATTCAGGAGATTCTGCAGTAGTGCGGGGTTCTTTTTGTGAGAGTTCAGTTGCAAGATCAGGACCCTACTGTGACTCCTTACTGTGCATTCTGTCACTGTCTCATTGGTTGTACTGGAACCTGCCTGTTGGGATAATGTAAGTCCTGCTTCTCCCCCACTTGTACTTTAGATGTGAATTAACCATAAAACATTTCTAATTAGAAAATTAGTATAATTTACATACATTCTTTTAATTATGTTTTTTTGGCAGTACCAAATACTATATTCCTCAAAACTTCTTAATGGCACTGAGGCTTTGTGGATAGTTGGTCACATGATGAGAAAATTCAGCTGTAAGTACATTAAAATGATTGACTTTTTCAATAGTTAGTCTTTACTGATGTTGGCAAACTAATAGTGATAAAAATGTGAATCAAGAGGTTTGACTTATGTCAAATTACTTCAGTTCTTTTTAGAAAATATATAGAGTATACCCATTAAGGACCTTATTATTCTTAGGTAATTCACCATGGGACCCTGAAGTTCTTCCCTACTGCAATTAGGTAGGGAGTTGAGAGTTGTTTGTTTTCTTTATTTTCAGAATGGTGTGTCTCTGACTTGCTCTGTGTTTTGATGGATAAACTTTTTGAAATTTATTGATCTATAAAACTTGTTTATAGCACTAATATTTGTATAGATATTGCAAACTGATTTACTAACGTAATTGTCTTGCTGGGTTGAATACTGAAATGTTAATAAATATACACTTATATTTGTGTCAGTGTACCTTGGTTAAATTAAACTGAGCTGGCATTATGAGTGAATTTGATCATACATGCTGATTAGCTATAGTCTTAGGCAGGGACTACATATTACCCATATCATATGTCAGTGGATTCACCCAAAAATAGCTATAAATATCTATGCTTGGCTTAAGGAGGAAGTTCTTGTCCTGTAGTTATGGGTACAGTCATTGCTTTGACTCCTGTTTTTATATACAAATGAGCAAAGACTACATGTAGGTGCTTTCCCTGTATAACAAAAGGGGCATTGTAAACTCTGTGCCCTTTTTTATGATGTTGTATTTCCTTTCTGGTATTTAAATTCAAGGATGTTTTCAGCTGTGTCTTAATCCAAAAAAAAAAAAAAGGAAGACCTGGAAATGTTACTGAATTTGTGGATAATTACCAAGGGGCTGTAAAGGTCTGGAGGAATTGTGTGTAGGGACAATTAGAGATTCTTTCTCATGAAGCAAGGACACAGATAATAATTGATGAGTAAAGGTTAAGGAGCACAGGATTATTTTTATTGCTTGGCACAAGAGCAGCATGAAATGAAAGTAATTTGAAGAAAGAGCACGACCAAAAGAGAAATAGCTACTGGTATTTTTCATTGCACTGAATATATGATTGATTTAAGCTTAAGATTTTCAGTAAATGCTTTTCTTGAAGTTTTTGGTTTTCTTCTGCTGGAGAGGAGTAGAAGAACTTCGAAGTGTTAAAGAAGACTCAGTGACTACTTGTGAATTACAGTGTGAGTTGGGGATTCAAGATGACAGTTACAATTAAGAAGAGAAGACAATGGGTTGCTATATAAAATTAGTGCCAAGCAGAAGCCTTAATTTCTTGTTCAAACACAAAACTTAATGATTTTGAAATGTATCACCTTCAACAGCACTCAAACCACAATTTTATTATGTTAATTACAGGATGGGTATTTTCAGAGTTCTCATTTAAAAACTTGAACATTTATTCTTTTGAGATTTTGCAATATAAAATGAAATTGAGATTTTTCAATATGAAGCGAAATCATGATTTCATTTCAGAAACTGAAATGTTTCAGAACACTGAATGTTTCATTTTGCATAAAAAATCCTGAACAGTGTATTTTCTTTTTAAAATGTGTAGAGACCTAAATGTTTGCCATTCTCACCTTTTAATCCTACTGGCCATATATATTTTTTACTTGCAGTAAGTTGGGTGAAAGAAAGGAAAGCAGAATTAGATTAGGTGATTGCAAAAAACCCCTAAACACAGCCTTCTAGCTGAGCCTCTAGACCAAAAGTGCCTCAGAACAGATCTAATTTCAGAGGAGGAAGGGAAGGAAAGTGATATGCCAGTGAGTGGGTATGGGGAATCCTCTGCATGTGTCATCTCTGTCTGATTTTTTCTCTCATCACCACTGAGAGGCAGATCACCTGGGTGTGACTGCTTCCCCTTCCTGTGATTGCAACTTCCCAGTACTTTGAGGGAGATAATGGTGGGGCATAGCTCTGTTCTGCCTGCAGCAGCACTGCTACCAATGTTTGGAAGAGAAGAAACTCTGAATTATCTCCTGCTGTAACCAGCTCTCCAATACTCACTGCTGCTTAGCCCTGCTGTTAAGTACCTGATCTGATGGTCTCTTTCATTTAACTCATGCCATGATGCTATAAATGAGTGAAACGAGGACCAAAGCAAGGAAATGGATATCAAGAGAAGGAGATGATGTTTTGGAATGTAGGGAGTGGGCATTTGCTGCACAGCTACACTTTGTCCCCTCTTGAGAATACCTCAAGAGCTGGAATGCCAAACTACAGCAACAGAGTAAGTTTCCTTCTGTGCATTGAGAAGGAAGAGCAAAGGAATGTGCCTGAACATTCAGCATGTTAATTGTAAGTCTTTGAGATCTCTTCCCCTACTATTGTTTGCACTCTGCTTGTATGGTGACTGTCCTGAATGTAGCATGTCTTTATTTGTATCGAATGAGGCACTCCTCACATTGTAACATCAGGAACATTGTTTTTCTTCAGCCCTTGAAAGTCAAAACTATGGTATGGTAGCATAGATAGCTGTAACAAGTTCATAATAAAAGTGACATGAAAGAATTTTCTTATTTCACAGTATTTTTAGGAAAAACAATGTTTTATGTGTTTCAAATACCTTTTCTTTTCCAATCCTAAACAGAATTAATGCATGAAAATTTTCTTCAGCAATGCCCTCAGTTCCTTATTTGCAGTTAGAACTATTACTCTTTTGTTAGTTAGTTTTTTTTAATCTAGGTTGATGCCTTCACAAAACTTCTCTGAACCCTTTATGAATGACACCATCATGCTGTCATTTGTTTTATCGTAAAATCTAGTGTAAACCTGTATTTTAGGAATCTTTTTCCCATCCATAAAGGATGATCATTCTTCTCTGTCAGCAGGTTTTTCGTCGATCAAGACTTTATTAGAAAATCTTTTACTTTGCCTTGACAAAATGCAGCCTTGCCTTGCTCATTAGCTGTCAAAGTGCTGCTCTACTGTAAATACCATTTTCCAAACCTACTCCTTTGCTGTTTTCAATTTCCTGCTTCATTTTAGAGCAATAAATATAAGCTATCTGTCTTTATTTTCAAGGCTCATCAGGACTACTTCTACCTGATACCTCTCCTTCAGTACCAAGAGGTTGACCCTGGTTTTGATCAACATATGATGCCTACTTCCTTCATTCAGTCATTGAATTTTCAGACCACACTGAATATTTTCTCCTCAGCTGCCTCTCATGTACTCATTGACTTCTTCATAAATAGAAGTGTTCATTATCTTCCCTCTATTTTTTTCTTGAAAGTTTTATGCACTGTGAAGCTTTAAGCAATCCAACTGGACAACAGTTATACTGTGGGTACATAGGCGCTAATGCCTATCACAGTAGTACTGTGTAATTGCATTTGGACTCTGCCATAACCCCTCTGTTGCCACTTTATGTAGAATTTAAGTATATCTATATTTTGTTGTGTGTTTATTCATGGCCCAGTGTAATACAAAATGGCCCATGGTGAGACCTTCCAAGATTTATGGTATTACAGATAAATAATAATGAATATGCACTGGATGCTGCAGCATAGCTGTTGGATTCTGTTGTGCCTAATGCCATGTCAGAATTTAATGCAGAAAGAAGGTGCTCCAACCAGAGGCCTCACAAAAGGAAAATAAGTGAGTTGCAGCCAATAGAAAAAATGCTAGCCCCAGAGGCCTTCTCAGCTGTCAAACTCAAGTCTGTAGCTACTGCCATTGTGTCCTGAAAACTTCCCTCTCCCTCTCCCTCTCCCTCTCCCTCTCCCTCTCCTCCCTTCTCGTATAAGGAAGTAAATGCAAATATCACAATGGTCTGCAGTGTATGCAGAAGGTCTTCTTACTTTTGTAGCAAACTTCATTTCATTCCTGACACAGCATCTCTTGGTACAGAAGTCTTTAATAACCACAATTGTGCCATTCATCAGTCCTTTTTTCAAGTGCCATTTGGTCTCTGTTGGGAAGGAACCTACACTGGTTTTCATTTGGTATCTTTATTAGGTATGTCCCTATCTCATGATGCTCCGCTTCCATTGTGCTTCAAAAGTAATGAGCCTTCAGAGAAGTGGTAAGGATTAATAAATTTGGAATTCCCCAGGCATGTCACCCTCTTCCTGTAAGTGGGTCTGCATGTAACTTCTTCTTTTAAAAGCACCCTGAAATGTCAGTGTTTAGATTGTACAGAGATGATGGAACGTTGAGTGCCTGGCTGATTACGGAGATGGTAGATTGGACTGTGCAGACAAATGGTGCAGTATGTACCAAAGAAAATATAGTCCAATAGACTAATTTTATCAGAATAAGCCACAAATTGTAGTTCTATATGGTTCTATGGCTGAGTAGGAGAACTTTAGTAAGAGCTCTGGGCTAGTTGGAGAGATGGAGGTGAAATTGCTGTGAAATACTGTGGGAGCCTGGGGAGTCTGTACAACCCAAAAGCTTGATCCTAGCAACAATTCTTGGTTATATATGTATAGACTGGATAAACTGAATGTTAGGCCTCATTAGGCCATCATGCACAGGCTGCTATTTAGATATCATTGAGCACTAATTTTTGAGCAAACAAGATAGAGAATCTAGAAGGAGAAAGACAGCCCTTGATTTAGTCTAGATCAACATGCAACAAGTGACAGTGGAGGAACCATTCAGTAGCGAGATATCATACTCAAGTTTGTCGTACTTGTCAGAGAAAAACAGCTTAAAATAAATTTTTTTAAAAGTCCAGTCTTGTTTAAAAGAAAGATTGTATACTAATGAAGACACAGTTTAAATAAATATTCAGAAGACACAGTTTAAATAAATATTCAAAATACACAGGGGCTTTGTTTTCTGATTCTAACCCAATTAAATAAGCCTTTTCCAACACAATTCAGCAGTAAGAGAAGCTACTAGAAATAGAGATTTTTTTAAAAAGCAAAATCCAAGCAAGCAAAGCAGAAAAGAGCACAATTCTGGCAAATGTAGACCTAGTATGAGGCAGAACAAAAAGATTTTGAAATGCAATGGGCTAAAATTCTAAAAGCCAAACCCCACATTTTTCCAGTGTAAATTTTGTTAGATGAGAGGTGAGGTTAATAGATAGTTGTGGTTAAGGAGAAAGACAAAGCCATTACAAAAAGAAATTGAAAGAAATTGAACTCATTGTGCTGGCAAGGTTTATGACAGGATGATTAGGGACATCCCCAAATAGGAGTTGTTTTTATAGGGAGTAGTTCAGATTTGATATCTCAATAAAAGGTTTTTAAACAAATTGATTAAATACACATTAATAAATTGCCCAATAACATGCTGTTCATTCAGTAGCCCTAGAACAATTCAGAAATTAAATTGGTGAGCAAACCATGAACTGTGTTGTATAATCTGGTATTTAAATTAGCCTTGATAACAGAGGAATGGAAAGTAACAAATGTGACCCTAGTTTTGAAAAGGGTTTTAGGATGGTCATGGACTAATGGACTAAAAAGTGAGGCTACCATGACAGACAAAATGCCAGTGATTGTGATGAAGCATACTGTTTATAGGAACATGGATAGGTGTAATAGCAACCATCATGCCTTTTGTACAAGTAGTTTTGTCTTAGAGTTTTGCTAGTTATTTGGAAGAGTCATTTCCAGATGCACAGGAAAAAGTGACCCAAAAAGTTTTTAAAAGTTCTGTAACTGAAGACTGTTAACAAAATGAAGTAGGGAATCACTTAAAATTCTTTGTGGGTTAGTAAAGGGTTAGAAGATAAGGAACAGTACAGAGACTAATGGGCAGCTTTAACGCTACCCCCTCATGGGGGTTTGTACTGGCACCTTTGCTGGTCCACCTGTTCCTAAACAGTCTGGAAAAGCGCAATTGTAAATATTGCAGATGATAAAAGGAAAATATTCACAGTTGGAGGCAGACCTAATGCTGACCCTGAAGAGCTGCAGAAGGATCTCACAGCAGGACCTGTGGTGATCCAGGAGCTGTGTCTGTCACAGTGGCCAGATATTGCTGACCCCACTGTTCAGCTGAATCCATCATCAGAGAGAGGCAGTGGCTGTTGGATTACAGCAGCCATCAGCCCATAAACCATGAGCTCAGCAGGCTGTGACCAGTCCTGCCACTTAGGAAGGCAGGGACTTGTAGCTGTTCTTTTCAACAGCAGGGGCTGCAAAATGAAGAGAAGATTCTTTCTCCCTGTTTTCTCAGAGTTTTATAACTCCAACGAGCTTAAAGTACGTGATTTGAACTTGGAGTTCCTGCCTGCTAAAGGGCTGGAATATCACTGTAAAAGTGATAGGTAATGTCTTGCTGCTGCTCTGAGAAGCCAGGGCTTTCAAGCCATTTTACTGGTGTTTGGATGGATTTTTAGCAGATTCTATTAATTTCTTAAAATTTATCTGGATCTGTAAATAAGTTTGTTGTCCTCATTGATTGATGATAAATTTTTACACATGAATCAAGCGTATACTATTCCCATTTTCTTAAATCTGTAGATATTTTTTTATTGTTCCTTTTTCTATGGATGTGCAGATCAGTTTTGCTTCTACTGTTCACTAACCTGTGGGCAATGGCAAATGCCAGTTTGCTGCTACTTCAGAAGTTAAATGCAGTTGCAAGCCCTAAAATTATTTCCAGGGAAAATCAGATAAAAAAGCAGAAATATTTCATGCAGCAACCAGAAGGTCTGGAGGGAGGGATGGAATAGAAGATATCATTGTACCTTTGCAACAGCTGGAATGGTTTCCAAGCTGTTGTCTGCAAATCCCTACTGGACTCCAAGGCTATGGTGAATTGAACATCTGTTTGGCTAAACCATAACTGTCCTTTAAATAGTGTTTCCAATTAAAAGTTTGATCAGATGGGTGTGTGGTGGCTTTTGAAAATTGCTGAAGGCTGATAATGATCTGTTGCTCAAAACAAAGTGGGAACTGATATTCTCGAGTGTATGAAAAAGTAGAGAGTACTCCCTACCTTCTCAGTTTTAGGTATGTTGCATTCTCTTCACAAGAAGCAAAAGGTGCCCAGAAAGGAGCCAGGAAAAGCAGTCTGGCAGCATTAATCCTTCTATCCCCATCATGCCTCCCCCAGTAACAGAAGTATGGGGTTCTGAATCATTGTATTGTCCTTGAGTATCCCTGAAATTCTTCAATGGTCCTGCTTTTCATATATATTCCCAACTAGTAGATTTCATTTTCTGGTAAGTATGATTTTTCAAGTCTTGGGTCCTCATCTGAAAAAATAAACTTGTCAACTCCTCTACTACAATATATATCTTTCTTTGAATTAAAGCCTGATTTCTCATTGCGAGAAAAACAGATTTTAGAATTTTCCATTCTGCCATTATTAATGGGCATAAACTTTCCTTACAATTATTAGCAGGTCTTATTACCCATTTGTTACTTTTTCAAAATCTCAATTGTATTTGACCAACTTATTTTATTTCCCTGAATGATAATTTTACATTGTAAAAAGCTTCTTTGCCCTCATATCATGTCTCTTACTATTGAAAATTTTCCAGCATCATAAAATATTTATATTTTCAGTGCTTTTAGTTGCCCTTGACAGAGTTTACTTCCCATTGTCATGAGTACCATACAAGCACATCCATAAGTAATTTGCAGAGATGTTAGCTTTTCCAACCTTCCGTGCATATTTTTGTTAGGAATTGTGGTGGTGTCAAATTTGAGGTACACTAAGCTATAAGCTGTATTCAAGTAGTATAAATATGTTTATCTTAAAAAAATATCTAAAAGAAATAATTTGTCTGATCAACAATCACTGTAATGTATTGTATGAAATTTAAACAAGATACTAGAAACAAATATTACCAATAACTTTTTTAAAAAGATGAAGCAAGTTGACAGGTGCTCTGTTTAACCTTTTTATGTTCTATTTTTCTTACTCAGGTCTTTTGATACAAATGTGGAAATAAGGAGGGCTGTGCTTGTTTTTATATTATCTTGCTAAATACCTGTTGCTAGCTTACATGATTCTGCTGTTGTCTTTGGTCAGACTTGAACTAGCTACAAGCTGAATATGAGATTGAGGGGAATCTTAGCCTTGTATCAGAAAGCAACTTGTAAGGAAAGAGAGAGTGACTTCTGCTATACTGTGGGAAAAGGTGGTTTCCTGAATTTACCTGTGAGCAACAGGAGAGAGGAATTTATGACTCCAGGCAAGGCATATGGATATAGAAGCAGTGATGGGGTGTATTGTTAGGTCTGAGGATGAGTGCATAAGAATGAAGAATTTGGAACAGGTATCAGAGAAAGGTTTTCAATAAGAGTTGGAGAGATCACACACTGGGGTCAGCTGAAAGCCACGTTACTAGAGAACATGGCTACAGCTCTCTGTCTGACTCTAGCTCACGCCACACTTGTCCTAGCTACACCCTTACCTGTCTTCTGGAATCTCAGCTTCTTCTCCAGTTTCTGCTCATGACCCTTCTAAGTGGAAAATCTACTTTCCTGCTTACTCCAGGAACAATTACATGCAAAGGTACAAATGGTCCTATAAATCTTTTACATCTAAAGTTTGTCTTCTGTCTCACTATACTTTCTTCAGCCTCCTATCTGTGCAGTTCTTCACTGCAGATGCAGATGGACAAAGGAATCACAAAATAGAATTATTTAGATTGGAAAAGGCCCTTAAGATCATCAAGTCAACTATAAACCTAACAGTAAAAGTCCACCACTAAACTGTGTCCCTAAGTGCTGTATTCACATGTCTTTTAAATGCCCTGGACAGCCTGCTCTAGTGCTTAACAACCCTCTCAGTGAAGAAATGTTTCCTAATATCCAATCTAAACCTTCTCTGGAATAAATTGAGGCCATTTCCTGTTATCCTGTCACTGGTTACTACCTGGGAGAAGAGACTGACCCCCAGCTGGCTCTACTCTCCTTTCAGGCAGTTGTACAGAGTGATAAGGCCCCCCCTGAACCTCCTTTTCTCCAGACTAAACAACCTCAGCTCCCTCAGCTGCTCCTCGTAGGACTTGAGACCCAGACCCTTCCCCAGCTCCATTGCCCTTCTCTGATGCTACAGCACATGCATGTCCTTGTAGCAAGGAGCACAGTACTGGCAGCATGGTCTCACCAGTGGATACAAAAGGATTCAAATGAGCTGCTGTGGAAAGCTGGCTGCACAATGGTAATTTTTCTCCTTTACAATGTACAGCTGGCATCTTCTCCAAGTGGGACATGTCCCATCATTCGAAATCTGCTGATTCATTCATTCCTTTCCCCCCTTCCTATGTAACTCATAAGAACGTGATGAAGTTTTTCCACATGATGAGTTATGACTTTTAGATAATGTTTGTCTTACTAAGTGGCAGGAAAAAAGTCTTGGATTTCTAAAGCCTGGTCTCTTTGATTTGCATTTTTCTGAGATCTATGATCTTTCTAACAATAAATTAATCCAGTGGATTATTACACCTACTAGTGTTAAATTGAAGTTTATGGACAGTGGGATTACTTTCCATAATTATTATTTTGCAAATCCCTAAAAAGTTGTTTATGAAGACTAGAGTCTGCAGAAAGACTGAAAGCAATGTCATAGAACACCCCCTAAATGAAAAGGTTTTTTTAAATGCAGTGGGGTTTTTTTTGGCTCTGATCTTTTCATAAGTCTTCAGCTTTTATTTAACAGTTTTTCTTCTCAATATTGATTATGATTGCACACTTATGTCTATGACTAAATTTAGCTAACAAGATACATGACTTCTGCTCAAGCTTGGAACTCAGTAATTAATAATCCTGTCAGCACATGACTATACAAATAGGTTATGTACCAAGATCACCATAACAATAGTAAAAAAAAGCACTTTTGGGGTGGGGGGTGTTGGTTGGTTTGGTTTTTTTTCTAAGAGGGTATGTTATTTTAAAAGGAAATTATTTTTGTGTTTCTCTCTTGATCGGATACTGAATATAGAGATAATTCTTTTAGTTAGTCAACATTGGTCCCTAAAAATTTGCTTTACTTTTACTGTTTGTCATATGTCATTTTATCTTTAAAGACTGCCGGAGTTCATGATTCCTGAGAAGTAACACCTTGAAGTTCTGGCACTGTCTTCTACAAAGTAACTTACACTGAGCTGGCTTCCTGTTACTGTGTCAATGAAACATCAAATGTTGATACTATGTGTGAAACAACATTTGATATTATGGCTATTAAGCTGCTTGAAAAAATACTCTACAGATGGATTTTGTGTTTACAAGACCTGGCATTTAAAAATCTATATCATGGATGCAGGTAATAAATGTTGTTTATTAATTGTTACAGGATAGAAAATGCTTATATTTGTGTACAAGATGGTAGTCCTAGCTCTTGCTATTTTTATCTCCTAAATATCTAATAATAAGGTGGTTATAAATATTTAAAGATATTAATCATTTAATTTGTTGAAGCATTGTGTGCATCATTTAGAATGGCACTAAAGGAGGGAAATGGACATGCCCTTCTCATAACAGCTAAACAAGAGAAGAAGGTAGCAGAGATAATGATATAATTCAAATTTATAGAAATCATTATGTTTTGCTGTATGAGCATAGCTCTTTACAGAATGATGATCTCATCCAAAGGTTGCAGTTATCTAAATAGATTCATTGCTGAACTTTATTCCAGTGTTTTTATATCATTGCTGGAAGTAAGAGAATACAAACACTTGAAATTTAAGTTATTGATCTTCATCCATGCTACAACTTTCAGAATTCGGTATTTAACCCCAGAATTGGATCTATAGCTCTTTTAAATTCTGGAATTCCAGAACTGTGCAGGTGAGCAGGAAAAAACAAAGGAAGAAACTGGAACGGGGAGAAGGAACTCATTCTCCTTTACAAAAGGAAAGATGAAAAAAACTTAATGAGTGTAGGAGAAATAATAGGATGAAAGAGAGGAGTCAGGTGAGGATTTCCAGTAATATTTTTTATATAGTGCTCAGATATGTTATGCTTTGTGCTACATGGAAAACAGAGTGAGACTTCAGCTTTCTAACTGCTTTTCTGAGCTGTACTTTACTCCCTGTGCATTTTTATTTTAGCACAGTCATTTCTAAGGAAGGCTTTAAATTGACTTTCAGGGCCTACCTGAATCACAAAATTCGTGCTGAAAGGATGACTACCCCAATGTTTGTCTTACCAAGTTAGTCTTAAAAAACCCACTTATAGACATGAAAAAAATCAAAACCATTTTTAAAATATATGTTTCTGTTAATTCTAGTCACTAGTATTTGGGAAAAGGCAAAAGCAGGCATGCAGTAATAGTAAAGAGTATCAGAATTTCTGTGTAAAACCTAATTGTAATAATACTGAAATTGAAAAGAAAACCTGCTTATTAGGTTACTCAGCAGGATTAAGCAAAGTCAGTCAATTCATAACCAAATGTAGCTGTAGAACAATGGGTTACTTACATTGGCACTCATTACAGGTTAGACACCAGTGTGGATTTCATCCATAAGCTGTAATAAAATAAAAGAAATTAGGAAATTGCAAAAAAAAGTTTCATTCAGTAATCTGTTCATGGCTGTGCTTGGTTTCTGCATGATTCACATAAGTATATATAGTACTATAGCAAGAGTATATGTTTAGGAAAATCTTATACTTTTTAAACTAAGCAATTAACAAATATTCATAGTGACTATAACTGGTCTTCATTAATTACCATGCAAAAAACCATTTAACTACAGAGATAAGGATCTCCCATTTTGTACTCCCATTGAGTACATTCACTCAATGGTAAGCATAAAACATTTTAACTGTTCACCTGAGCAACACTTCAGTGTGACTGAGCCCTGAGTTGATGTATGGCAGAATAACACCCCCTCTGAAAGGGGACAGAGAGAGAAAATGGGTGGGGCAGGGAGAGGCCTTATGGTGGCACTTCACAATTAATTTTGGAATAGTAACATCTACTTTTTGGAATGTAGTGTATTAATTTCTGCTGATAGAGATAGGTCAGCATAAGAACTATGCTATAAATTGCTGTGTGGTAGGGTTCCTGTTCCTATGCCATGTCTGTGTCACTGGGCAGCAGTTTTTAAGGGCATCCAGTAAAGATATGAATACAGAAAAACTGACATAACTGTACTCTTCATTCTAAAAAAAAAAAAAAAGAAATTAAATGTAGATAAAATTTTAGAAGTTCTAAATAAGAGACTTTTTGGTCTATTTTATGGTTAAGCCCTTGCTGTTATGTTGTTTTGCATTGATGTTACATTATTTAATGTTTTGTGATTCTAAAATGGTTTAGGTCATGTAAATTGTTCAGTGCAAAATCCCATTTCAAGTATATTTAGATTCTATTTAATTGCATTGTAACTGGCAACTCTGTGTTGTCCTCATGTAATAGGCAGTATCAAGATGACTGTATTCTGAAATAATTATTAGTGGAAGACCACTCCAGTCCCAGGACTGTGTCTCTCAGACTTTCCATATGGACAAGGAAGTGCCAACGGTGAGCTGTGCCTTTGGTGTCTTCCAGCCCCCAGATCACTGCCCAGGAGGAAAGCTCCCTTTCCCATCCCCTTCTCTGATTATTTATGCTTTGGTACTGCTGTTCTGTAAGCACACAGTCTTGGCTTTGCATCTGGCCTGGCAAGCTGGTGAAGGTGGTGTGAAGAGGTTGTTTCCAGAGACCAGTTCCACACTGAAGTTTCCTGCACAGACTGGGCTGTATACCAACTTTAAAACCAGCCCTTCACCCATGACTCTTTAATTTAATTATAGTTAGTTTAAAATAACCATTATAATATGTCTCCATGACCATGACATTGGATTTCAGCATTTTTTCCCAGCAGTATTTACTGCATTTAGTAACAAATTACTGAAATATCAGCTGTGCTATTTTAAGTATCAGTTAAATGTGATATTTAATTAATTGTGTCTTAAATTTTGGAATAGAGAATCCCAGTGATATTAAGCCTAATTTTTTATTTACAGCAGATAAACCTAAAGCCCAGTAGTATATAATTAATTCTAACAGAAAAGCAAACTTCCTTTTATGGGGTCACACTTCATTTTTGTGCTCACTGTAGTTCACACAAATATTGTTTGGTAGGAAAAAAAATTTTGCAGCACAAACCTATTATATGTTCTGTGCAGATGAAAGTCATTAGTAAATTTTCTTTGTTCACATTAAAGGAAGTTGAAAATATACTAATCACTTATTATTTTAATCCAGATGTTATTATCCATAAATATTCATCTTGAAGATACATGCTAGCTTCATAAATACCTAGTGAACTTCACAAAATTGATTACATTTCAAATATGTGATTCAGAGTCTAAGATTCAGATCTTAGGGTGGGATGAATCGCCCTCTGGAGGTGCCCATTTTAGTTTGCTGACTTCACAGGAATCCTGTTCTGAACTGACTAGTTCAAACTAAAAGTTAAGTGACTGGCCTGTCACCTTCATTGAGAAATAACTGAGCATGGCATACCACTGTAGATCTTGTCATTAGACCTCGCTAAGAGCAGCTGCCTTATTCCTCACCTTCTCTGTCAGTGTTCTTTTACTGTTTCTAATATGAATAAACACGATTGTTGCTGTTGCCATTTCCTGTGTATTGTTTTTTCCTGTCCTTTTCAATCTTGTTATCTTATCTTTCCCTGTTTTTTTTTTCTTTTTTTTTCCTGACTCTTTACAGCTGCCACCCTTTCTGAAGCTTTTCACTTACTGGCTCTCTGACAATCCTCCTTTCCATGTTAAAAGTATTGTCCTAACTTGTGATGTGGAAGATTGCTGGCTCTTCCTTTGATGCTGATACCAGTATTTTCTTGACTGATAGGATTGTAATGAAGACATAGAAAAAGAAGACTATGGCACTCACATGAATTTTTTATGGTTTGAGTAGTCAAAAAATATTGTTCTTCTGCCTTCATATAAAATGTGTTGGTTTCCCAATGTAATTGTAACTTAAAGATGTTTTTAGAAATGTAAAATTAAATGTGAAGAGTATAAAATCCATATTAAAGACATAAAAATGTTATAAAATACAGCGCTAGTCTTTATTTTAACAACTGAGTTCTACATGGCTCACTTGCAAAATATGGGGTAGACTTACAAAGTTGCATACTGGTAAAGTCTGACTTACTAAAAGATGAAATTTCTTTTTCTGTTCAGTAATTATTAAAAGGTCAACTTATTTTCTTTCTCCCTCTGGTAATATTTTCTTGTTATACCTGTTAAAGATCTTCTCTTGAGTTCTGTCTTCTCCCTTTTTTTTTGTTCCTTTTGTTAACCTTCCTAACTCTTTTGGTCCAATACTGATCCCTTTTTTCTCATATGTTTGCATCCATTTGCCTAGAATATTGCCTTGAGCATGATCATATATACCTAAGAATATATTTACTTCCAAATGCTGGATGGATCTGCTATTTTAGGACTTCCAGTAAAGCAGAAAAGAAACTTAACAATTCATGATAGTGTTTTAGGGTTTTTTTATGATACATATGCCTTCAGAGGATCAAAGTACCTTGCTTCCAACATCAATGGAATAGTAACTATAGACAGAGATAAACATTCCTGTAAAAATAAAGACTTATGGTACTTGTTCAATATAGGAATGCTAACTTAAAAAGAGCATGAATGAAACGAATGAAACCATGCTGTGTTCATAAATGGTATGGCAAACGTTTTCAGTTTTGTTTGCATATAAAGAAAAATGCTATTGGAAAGAGTGCTTTGTACTGATAGCAATGTAAGGAGATAGAATTTTTTTAAAAAGACAACTAAAATGTATACATGCATAAAATCAGGAGAATTTTTGAAAATCATGCTCTGCTGTAGCAGAAATACTGAATAACAGTTAATGTTTTTATGGGATAGATACCTACCTATTTTATTAGGTATACTAAATGTACTTTAGATAATCTAAATTATTTGGATTGCAGTAAAATGAATACCATGAAAAACATAAACAGCGATGTTCAGAACTTTTGCTTTATGTATGCATGTGTAAAATATAGTAAAAATAATGGCACTAATAATAGCAATATACGAGAAAATTATTGGAGGTGTGAGTGAGAGTCATTTATGGTGCCCAGAAGTTTTTAACTAGCGTAGTTACCTGCAGGACTTTGCATAATTTGGAGGCCATTAACAAAACACCTTTGCCAGATGTGTGTACTGAGCATGAGGATGACATTACAGACAATGGTTAGAATGCAGAGGACATTCAGAATCTCTAAAATAGTTACACCAATGAGGAGTTTGTGTTGAACAGTAGAAGCAGAAAGTTTTTGCTGAAATTAAGTTGCACTGACTGCAACAAAGTTTATAAAGAAAGACTATATGAAAATTATCCATAGAAAGCAAAAGAATATTAAAACCCATGTAAAACCTGATCTGGCTTTCTGTAGTATACCCTCAAATGATTCACATTGACAGCATAGATTTAACTCACCACTGATTGCTGAAGATCTGTCCCTTTTATTAACAATACAAGGCAACACAGATCCTGACATAATCTGTGACTTAATACTCCTATTCATTTTACAGGAGAGTTGCTATGGACTAGAGCCTTGCTCATCATGAAAAATAATACAATTTTAACAATGGCATATTATTGTTAGAAGGAAGTACATCAAACTGACTTAGCACTGTTTTAGAAAACTAGTTTTGAGAGTACTGTATTGGTGTAGCTTAAGTCACAAAATTATTGTTTCTTTTAATAATACTACTAATCTAAAATTCAGACTTGTAGTTTGATGATAAGATTATTTCTACACTCAACTTTGTGTATTTTTGATTTGAGATTTTTGAGTGATAAAATCTCACTTTAAAAAATCAGTTAAAATGTCTTTCTTTTTAAATCTGTTAGGAACAGTAAGGAAAGCATAGCTGAAAATACTAACAAAACAGGGAAGCTATTTCAGCAAGTGAGTAAGTGTAACAGTAGGGAAACATTTGCCAGAGGAGAATAAATTTGAGTTAATTGCTACATTAAGATGTGAAAACATAATCTATAAAGTCCTGCAGAAAATAATAATGAAAAAATCTGTTCATAAATACAGCTTAGGTAGTGGTGGTCTTGAGAGATGCAATACCACTACAAATTCCAAGAATTGTTCTTTGATTGCATTAGAAACAGGCCTGGCTAAGACATAAATAGAATAAAATTATCTGTAGTTATATATGGAATATAAGGTAAGGGAAACATAAATAGCATTTATAAAACAATCACCCTGCTTGCAGATTCTGCAGATCACATGGCTGGCAGACACAGAAATAATTTCACAAATGAAAATGGAAGAAGCAAAATCCATGAAGATTGTGTTGAAGGTTTGATTCGTTTGACTTTCTCTAGGCCTATGAGGGTCTCCATGATTATCATATATATATACAGATGTATTATATTCATGTTATACATACATATATTGCTGTATATATGGAAATGTATAAAAAGCTGTAAAAGAGGAATTTGAGTTCTGCGCAAGAAGTGCTTCAAAATAGGTTA